AGGTTTTAAAACTGTTGGATACATGACACTAGTATGGGGCCAGATATAATTCAAGTTTCTAAAGTTATAATGGTTTAGATTATTCCTGGCTAATACTTAATATATTAGTTGAAAATATGCTGAGTGATAGTAATGCATAGCTCAACTTAAAGTATACGAAGCTTCAAACCAAGTAAATCTATAATATCTACAGAACAATATGAGAATACGTTATGGCTTAATATCGTAAGTGTCCATGATAATATACTAGACAATAAGGAAGCGGAAATAATATGAGCTTTCTGGATTCCAAAAGCATACTATGTTTTGTTCTGAAATATCTTCGAGATGTCTATCCAACAAAGCCGTTACACATCAGCCACTCGATAAATGCATTTTGAGGATACAAAGAAATAGTGAGAATGAACTTTTCCCCTTGGTGCTACTTAATCACTAAGACAAGATTAATTCCTAAAAATGAAAATAGTTACTGGCTATAAAGTAACGAAGCATAACATTGCACGATATAAAAAATGTGCGTATGTTGGAACCAAATTTATAGGAGTTGATGCGAAATGGATGTCAAGATTAATGGTGAAGATGCTAATTAAAGATCAAAATATTGCAATATAGGAAGACATAAAATAAAGTTAATCTATTAAGCCAGAGGTACTAGAGAAAAATCGATGAGGGCCAGTACGCATTCAATAAATTCGGTTAAAGCAAATATCAATATTGTAGAAACTAATGAGATGTGCTTGTGTTGATTTTATCCTTACGTGCTATATAAGTATTCTAGCTGTGATTAATTGCAAATAAAATAGGATAAGTGAATTATAAATGCGCTGCCCGAGAGCAAATTAAATGCTTTGGGTGGTTTGACTAAGCAAAACATAAAAATGCAATGTCTTGATAATACGAAACTCCAAGAATGTACTCACCTGTGCATAGGATGAGCAATCTGAATCAAAGCATGTGCTCTTTGCCTAAGGCTTTTCCCAAAAAGATAGGCAATGCCGTGTTCCGTCACGATGTAATGTACATTGGCCCGTGTTGCAACAACGCCTGCACCAAGCTTTATGTAAGGGACAATTTTTGATTCATTCTTCTTTGTCATAGAGTGCATGGCCAAAATTGCCTTTCCTTGGCCATCTTGGGCAGTGGCGGCACCTCTTAAAAAGTCGATTTGTCCACCAAACCCTGCATCGCCACAAGCAAAAACAGAATAAGTTAGTGACATATATAAGATGAAAAGCAGGGTTAGGAAAAAATTATCGAAAGATACACCTGGCTAGAATGCTTGAAAAAGGAAGCCTGACATAAAATAAGCAAAACTCGAAATAGAACAGTGAGAATAGATGAATGTTCAAGTCGATGTTAAATCAAAGTTAAAAAGGAATTTAGTTATATAGCAGTATATTTTAGCAAATAAGAACACTAGTTCCTAGTGACCTTTTAATAATCACATAATGATAAGTGAATGGGAATATAAGAAATAAAAATTAATAAATGGTAAAATGACAGCTCAATAAATGTTTAGAGCAACCTAACATGAAGTAATGAGTAAGGGTA